TCACGACAAGGAGTTCTAAACAGTGCTAGCTGAAGCTCTTCCTTCATGTGAACAAAAAAAGTCATAAAATTAATATTCGGTTAAGCAATATACAGTCTAGACGAAACTGTATCAATAACTTCAGAATCTGTGGATAAGACACTAGCACTATATATCTTAAAAAACAATAACTGTTTTTCCAAAATAAACGCTTCACTAGAAGTAATCAAGTAAAAAAGTAACCATACTTTATGAATCAATCCATCGTCAATGATTGAACTACTTAACTTCTTGAACAGCTCATACAATGCCTCCACTTCGTTTACAGTAACTGCAAAAGCATTTCAAATCTCACTAAGCAAATGACGTACAATTATAAATATTTGAATAAATAAAAAATATAAAGGAAAAAAGGACGCCATTAAAATTGACTTCACATCGAGATTCCTCAGACAGCCGAACAATCTCCTGGTACCCATAGCGCGATTTCTTGCTATTAATCAGCTTATGGCAATTGAAACAACCAGAAGCAGCGAAAATTAAGGCCTCGATTATGGCTACAATAGGGATCACAACCGCGCAAATTTTCTCGGTGAATTTCAAGCTGCTCGAGCTCTGCTTCTCACCATTTTCGTCACAATTAGGAAATTGAAAACCTAATCGATGTGAATAAGACAGTAAATAAGAAAATGAGCAAATTACCAGCGAGCTGTTGGTCGAATCCATTCGAAATCTGGTCGAAGCACTCGCGCATTAGCGCACACCAACCGAGCTCGTTTATTGTGCGGCGAGAATATATTCGTTAGTTAGTTGTATATTTTAGTTAGTTGTATATCTTCATGAGAGCGCATTTTTTTATTTTTTTCGAAGAAACAAACACTTGTTAAAGCCCAACTCCAAACTTTAGAGGAAATTCCACCCTTTAGATTGCCCTTTAAATTTTATTATACTTTTCCAGTATAAATATACTTATTTTTATTTTTATCCAAAGAAGCTAAAAAATTATCAAATATACCTAAAATCAAACTTAACACTTATTAACATGATTTTAATGCTAAGGAGATAATTAAGGGATTTTAAATATCTTATACCAAAAAGAGTGGAGAACAAAAAGGTGAAAAACCACCCCCTACCTTCTCCCCGTCATAATTTTTTTTCAGAAACCGCCCCAATATTTTTTCGCCCATTCCAAGAATCAATGGCAAAAACCAAGCTCCCTCATCCTAATCGAAGAGATCCGGCAGATGTTGGCGACGTTTCACCGGTTATAAGATCTAGTGCCCGTATCCGTAAAATCCTCGAAAAAAACCAAACAAAGCTCGTACAAAAAAAAAACAGGTTTTCGAGAAAAACTCGAACCCTAAACCTAAATCCGTAAAATGGGTTGTTTACAACAACTTTAATTGGTCCCACTACATGCTCACAATTGTTATGCCGTGTAGAAGTCTATTCTTAATTGGATACTTGCTTGTTGCATTCTATCTAAAATTCCTTTATGTGCTTGAAAATAGAAACACACAAGCATGAATTTCAAGTTTTCCAACTTGTCATTTTTCTTATTAATTTATGAATTGAGTATATTAATTTGGTCTGCCAGGTGAGCCGTCAATTTCCTACCGTGGTCTCTGGGCACTGTCAACTCTTTATATGTTTTTCATGTTATATGTGATATCTTTGGATTATATGAGATGTTTTGAGTCTAGTAGTCAACTCCAACTACTTAACTCTGTTAAGGAATCCACGAATCACTTAGTCGATACGGTTTCGGTTAAGTATGTGTTACTTTGTGTGTTGTTTTGTGTTGTATAGTCTGTTGATAGGACTATCGTAATTGTTGTAGGTTCTTCGAGCTGAACTTTTGCCATAATCCCTTCAACTGCTTGTGTTTAGCTACATCTCGGTATCCAGGTGGGTCTTATTTAAATTATCTATGCCATGAATGATAAATGTTTATATTTGTGGGTATGATCAATGTATGCATGTGAACATGTAACCCTCGATGTGAGTTGTACCGGCCGTCGAACGGTTATCCCCGTAGTTATTGAACGGACCCCATTGGGGTAGTCTCCTTTGCGATATATTACCTGTCTAAAGCACTAGGTGCTGACAGCGATGTATTACCTGTCTAAAGCACTAGGTGCTGACAGCGATGAATTACCTGTCTAAAGCACTAGGTGCTGACAGTTGAGCCTCTTACTGTTTGGGCATCGATGTATGCCTCGAGCGAGGGCATTCGATACGTGTATCAGCAGTAGTCTATTGTTATAGGTGTGCATATGAGATATTTATGAACTTGAGATAGGAGATGGGATATTTAATGATTATGTTCATACTGCGACCATGCCATTTATTTTCTCGTACTCTATTATTGTTCGTGTGCATAGTAGTGAGCACTACAGTTCATCGTGCTCACTCCCACCTGCTTTTCATGGATGCAGGTTAAGCAGGTGTTGGCTGACGAGACAGAGACGAGTGGTGTTGGTCTTTGACTGACCTCATTTAGTTTATTCTGCATGATAGACTATTTATGTTTATTTATGCATTTATGACTTGGGGATATTTATGACTTTGGAATGGGAGATGTTCTCTTATGTATAGTAGTGATTTATGAACTTGGAATATATGAACATGTTGGATTTATGACGTATGATTTATGCAAGAATTATTTACGTGATG